AATGACTGCTGCACAGTAGTACCCAGTTCTCTCTCTCTCTCTCTCTCTTCTCTCTTTGAGTCCAGTCTCTCTATCGCGAGGCATAGAACTGGTCGAGATTCCCCCCTGCACACAGGGCATTCACGAGTCCCGGTCGTTTCGGGTGCTCGGAGGTGGGTTGGGGTGGATGGGGGTGAGTGGCGAGTGGAGTGGTTTTGTTGAGCACGTTTCAACGTTTGAAGCGCATCTGTGTGAGTTGTGCAGTGGAGGCAGAAAGGGTGAGGGTATGCACTACACCACCTCAGCATAGCAGGGGCCTGAGAAATTCATGCCCTGGTAAGAGTCGAAAAGCCGGGACTGACGTCGTCTGACCTGGGTCTGCATCATGCGCGAGTGGTAATGTTCCAACCTTCCTCGGTTTTTGTTGCCTTTAAGTCAATCTTCAATGGAACCATCAGCTTAGTCAGTGCCGGGCCACCAGCAGGACGCAAGCTTCACCAGTCCATCCCGTCGCGGGATTGATGCCACAGTAAACTAAGCCAGTGTCAATGATCGCATAGTAGGGAACGGTTCCCATCACCTGACGTTTATGTCTATATGTACTCACCACTCACCTCCATCATGTTGCTCACATGGTATTGCATGTAGGATGAAAGGTGCCGCAAAGATTTGGGTCTCATGCGTCGCTGAGACCCTCCAGGTCCAGAAGCCGCTGCACCAAACGCTGGAAGGCCAGCTCCCTGTCTTGCCAACTGCCAATCCCCTCACTCTCAGATGATCAGTCGTGAACTTGACCCAAACTATCTTTTGGCGGGATTTCGCTTGGAGCTTGCAGGCTGCAAAAGACTGGGAGACCGCCATGTTTCTGTCATCACTGCTTGGGGCTTCAAAAACATCAGTGTCTCTCGTTCCGCAGGCTTAATTAGTCTGTCAAGTCCGGCTCTCTCGTTTCCATCTCTCCTCGGGAAGGCGACCTTTCTTCCTTTCGAGGGCAAGAGCCAATCCCATGATGTCCATGCTGCCTGCGCTTGGCGCGCCTGCTTGCCCTTATCAGCATTCCTAGGCACCACCTGCATCTACACTCCTTCTTAGACTCTTGGCTACCTCAGCAATATGACAGACGTGGACGCTCTCACTCGCATGGGTTCCCAAAAAGCAGGAGCTCGCATAAACTCAAAGACTGGCCCCCCAGTTCCTGTGAGGGAGAGGTTCGAGCCTCAAAGCGTCGGCGAGGCCAAGCAAACCCGTCACCTTCTCCGAGGAGATGTCGGCCATCACATGGGTACCTATATAACATGGCAATGCAAGAGGCGCTTCGTGGTTTCACTCCGAATCGTGCAGTCAACATGAGTGCCGTTAGGTTCAGCGGCAGGCAAGGTGCCGATGCCCTTCACATCCAGCATGTCAGCTCGAAAGTTGCCCTCCTCGTCAATGCCTGAGACACAGAACAAAGGCGCAGCTGGGATGACTGATTCACATTGACATGGTGCTGCCGGCTCGCAACCCTCTTCTGGGTGTCTGACCATAGCGATCGCCCACCAAAAAAGTGGCTGCGCGCCCACCGCTCCGCACCTGCAAGCTTTCTACTGATGCTGCCGCCGAATCTTGCAACTTCGCTCTACCAAGGTGCTCGCAAAGCAGAGCGTGAGCCTCCCAGGATCCCTGCACAAGGAGACAACACAAGTGCTTAGTCTGGAGCTCAGTGACTCGCTTGCAGTTAGCACAGAGGCATAGACAGCCAGCCTTTTGAAGAGATGAGGTGGTGGTGATCTCCGCCCTCGTCCAGCCGCTGAGCCTGCCCCTCCGAAAGCCAAGCTGCTTCCTGCCGGACTCCGAGGAGAAGCAGCCGGGCACTTGTGCTACTTACTGATATGGCTGATGGATGCGAACTCTTGATGTTGGTCTGCATGGCTGTGTTGGGTCCAACTATGGGGCCTGTTTACCGCGGGTTACATCGACGTCTTGGATGAGCGCAGCCTTCGGGAAGGAGCATCACTGTGGGCAATGATCAGCCAGTTCGGGCTATCGAACGCCTGCACAGTCGGTAGATCGGGCAGGGCCCTCCATGATTCGCTCGATGTTCAGCGCGATCCATCCAGCATCATCGAAGTGTCTGAGTAGACTGGCCCCTTGCCGAGACTTGCCAAGCCCGACGAAGCAAAAGTGTGCCATCTCCTCCAGGAGCCATGCATCCACTTCGACATTTGACTTGCCTTGCAGCCGTCTCCCAAACGCTCACGCAAACACGACTCGCTCGCACTGTGCGACTGAGCTGCCTTGCAAGTCTGGGAAGTGGGACCGTAGAAGTGAGTAGTCTGCGGCCAAGACTTTGCCGTCAAGACGGCGGAAGCCGCCTTCGAGGCAGTCGAAATCGTTCATAGCCTCGGCTGAAAATCATGCCGAGCAGAGAGGCGACAGCTTTAATCGGAACAAACGGGTGTCTTTTATGAATGAAAAATGATCAATCTCATCAGCTAGGATACGTTTCCAGCAGCATTTTCAAGCAGGAAGCCCGGCGAGAGTTCCTGTGGTATCTGCCGCCAGAAATAACCGTGGCCAAGCCAGTCCTCAATTTTTCGTTGAGTGCTTGCAGCCTTGAAGCACGCTTCCGCACGGATCAGGATCCGCAGTTCCAAATCGCACAAAGGAAACTGCCCTACAAGGGACACTTCTCTATGTCTTGTCGATGTATGCAATGGAGGCAGACGCAGAAGCTCACTACGAAGCCAAACACATCCTCCTACTTTGTCTCGGGCAGTGAGTCTCTTGTTTTCCATATTCCGTGACATCTTCGTCTCCCATATGCGAAGCACGAGCATATTCCTTGTGCGAGCTCTGTTGCCTCAACATTGCAGATTTTGCATCCGAAAACCAGATGGAAAGCCTTAGACTCAGCAACCTCGGACAACAGCAAAGGTAGCTAGAAGCTTTAAACGAAGAATGTGAAACTAGCTTCTGAACAGCTTTATCCCTGCTATCGCTCGAAACCCACCATCACCACCGGTTAGCACATGCAGGACGGGCAGAGAGTTGTAAGCAACTGCAAACCTGGACTTAGCACTTTTATGAAAATCCCTTTTCATGTTTTGGACAAGGCACAGCATCCCTGCTGTGCTGCCCGAAGGCCCACCAGCACAATGGCTCCTCGTCAGAGACGCGTAGCGTTGTGGAAGAAGTGAGACTGAACTCAGGACATAGCCACGATCCTCCACAAATTCACAGGGCGTCGCAGGGGGCAGCCTGGGTTTCTCTCGAGTTTTAAGCACATTAAAGCGAAGGACAACTCTTGCGTAAAGTGCGGAGCTCATGCGTCTCAAGTGTTATAGTCCCAGTGGCATGGCTGCCCCCATCTTCAGGGCCAAAGCCGACAGCTCTTTCCTTCCAGGCCCGGCGGCAGCGGGCCCCTTTGCCCCCCCTTTCTTCCCTTCCGCGGCCTTGGCCAGGTCCCCTTGGTCTCCAGGGCCAAACGCACGGAATGGTTGTACCTCACTCACGGACACCAACGCGACGGCTCACGGCTCTGCCGCTCTTTGACGGATGCGCTCTCTCTTTGCCAGGCTGCCAGGAGAGCACCGCACGGATGGAGGACCCAGCTGGGCTCAGGTCGGCGGCGGACGTCGCCAGCCTCGACACACCATAATGCAGACAACAAGATCCAGATGCAACTGCAAATGCTTACCCGAAGCTCCAGCTCAACCTGTTGTGGCCAGAGAAGCGAGATACTGCATATTGCTGCGCTACTCTGCATTCCGGTCATGCATTGCCCTGCCCGGTACATTGCCCCGCCTGTAGGCTTTCAGCGCCTCTGGCAGCAAAGCTGCTGCGATCGCTGCCTCTTGGCCGCTGCTGCGCTCAGCCTGTCGCGCAGTCATTCATGTAATGAACTCTTGTACCGGACGACGCCGTACTGGACGACGCCATACTGCACAGATCGAGACAACTCCGATGGAGCCTCGTCATGGATTCTCTGACGCGCCCGCCACACCGCCCTAGCCATGATTAACAGCTCCTCAGCAGAACAGAGCCTGTATTTTCATTGAGGCTGGCATGTCGTATTATTCGTATCTGGTGCACAGGGAGTGGCTGTCACTGGGCATGACAGGTGTATCAGGGGTTCTGTTTGCGATAATCCAGAACTGCCACTTCCGATCACACAGGAGAATCCTCCTCAACCTCTGCGCCCGCGGCTAGCTGCGATGGGAGCTTGTACGCACCATCCTGCGCCGTACTATTTTGAGAAGGGCGCCGCAGAGTGCGTGCATTTGTGCCTCTCTTGATCACCCTCCCACCAACCGCATCCTTTGGCTCCAGATGTGGCAGAGGATCTGCATTCAGCCAGCTCGGATGTGCTTTCGGAGTCGGCGCAGGCATGGCTGCAGCTCTATCGAAAGGGACTTGCCCCGAGACTTGTCCGGTGCTGGCTTTTGTCGTGTCATAGTCGGACTTGCTCGCTGAGTCTATTGCAGCATCACACGGCGGCTAGCAACTGTGTGGCGATGAATGCTTCTATCACGTGTCACGCATCTACAGCCTGAACGGTTCCTTCAAAGGGCATGCTATGATTGGTATGAAGTCAGTCAGACATGACTGTTGCTCTGCCTGAGTCCTCAGCGACGCTCAGGGCGCCAACCTACCACAATCACGCGCAAACCGAGGAGCATGGTCCTGCCTCTGCGCCTCTGTGAGATACTCCCGCAGAGCTGTTGCCTCCTCTCGGCAGCAGGCCACCTGTCGGCACTTTGGCATTGCGATCCATTGCGATTGGCAGGTGACTAAGGTCCGCACCTCCCGCTGTAGCACATCAAGCCTTGCCACGAAAGGGGTTAACGATGGTTAACGGTCCGCGGCTCAGCTACGAGTTCAGAAGGACTTGAACAGCACCAAAAACGTTCGCGCATGTCAGTGCAACGCTGAACGCCTGGCTAGCAATGAAGAGGCGGCTGTAGGCTGTCTACCACAATCTACATTGCAACCTGCTACACATGCATGTTTCGCACAGACTGGTGCGATGGAAGGGGCATCCCCGGGAATCACAGCAACATTGTAGCTCATCCCGTCATTTGGCGAGGTGACGAAGATTGAGGAAGGCAACACACATGCATGACAACGTTCACGTCTGGCCTCTGATGAAGCGCATGGACCTCCGTTTGCAGCAATGGAGTGCTCCTCGACCATCAGCTTGGTCAAACTTGAACTGCAGGAAGTGGGAATGAAGCGACGTAAGGATCCAAAAGGCCCCGGCGACGCGGATCTGGAGGCATCTCCAGTTCCGGTTACCATCGTGCGGACATCGTTTGCGGCGCAACGATAAATACTGACACTGTCAAGTTTTCGGGATGCTTTTGAAGGTGAGAAGATGCTGCAGTTGTTGGTGCCAAGATTGTGTGTGTTGCCTCGGCATCCCTTTCGAACTCAGCTGAGACTCAACAAATGCCAGGCACGGGACTTGAAGGACCTAACGATGCTGTCATGCAGCGGGGCTAGATTTGCTTCTAACTTCCAAGACAATCCTAGATCACGTTCCGATGCGGCTCCCAGCAGGCAAGATTGCTTCGGCCATGGCGGTAACAGGTCCATCAATGTACTCCAACTCCAGATGCTGGTTCAACACATCGATTGCCCTGGCAGCGACTCGAACTCATGGAGCGAGCTGGAATGAAAAAGGTAACCGTGCACACTCTGATGGTCGCCATCCTAACCCATCCGAAAGCACATCGTATGCTCGACCATGTCATGTCGCACATGCATTGATACCGAACAGCAAAAGACGATTTGCCGGAAAATCTTGATGTCGAAACTGCAGCACTGCTGCGTTTCTCCGTCAGCTCTCGGGACACAGGCTCTCGTTTTGGTGTAAACGAGTGCGTCGGGAGGCTCGTCGACGCCGAGCGCGCCGAGCGCGCCGAGCGACGCCGAGCGCCGCCGAGCGCCGAGCGAGCGACACCGAGTGAAAAAGAACTTGGGATACTTCCATGATCTTCCGTGCAAGCCAAGAACAGAGCAGCTTGTGTCAGCAAATGCCGGCGACTATCAGCAAATCGAGTCAGCAATCTGGCAGCCGTCTGTCGCAAAAAGCCCAGGTCTCGAGTCACAGGCAGAACACAGCAGTAGTCAAAACACTTCGACTCGAATCAGAAAGCGACAGACTGCACATGGAAGACAAAAAAACGAGGTCGCACGCTGTCGCATCCCCCCTCGCCTTCCAAGGCGACATAGGGGTTATGTCGTTTTCTACGAGGGATCGTGCAGTTTGGGCTGTATGTGTTCTTTCCGATTTGGCAACCCTCATCCAGAATCGTTCGGATTTTGGTTTGAATGCTTCCATAACGAATGATGGGTGCGACCAGGTGCGACCTCGTTAAAAACGAGGTCGAGCCCGGTCGCACCCACCCTTGCCTTCGAAGGCGGCATGGGGGTTATGTCGCTTTCTACGAGGGGTGGTGCACTATGTTGTTTTGTGCGACTGCTTCCACAACAAATGATGGGTGCGACCGGATGCAACCTCGTAAAAGACGAGGTCGCGCCCAGTCGCACTCACATTTGCCTTCGAAGGCGACATGGACGTTTTGTCGCTTCATACGAGGGATCGTGTACACAGGGCCTTATGTGCTCTTCCTGCTTTGGCAACCGTCACTGAGAATCATTGGGTTTTGTCTGGGTTCTTCCATAACAGAGGGGTGCGACCGGGCGTGACCTCGTCAAAAAAAAAACGAGGTCGCACCCATGCTTCTTCGTATATATGACTACAGATGTGAATGAGGTGAAATTGATGCAGGTGTATAATATGTGGATGTGGATGCGAAGGCCGGTTGATGAATGTTTGTCTGTATGCACGTGTGGATGGTTGGATGGGTGGTCGTACCGTCGTACCGATTGATGTACAGATTTGTGGATGGATGTACGGATGTATTGAGTGTTGGATCTCTTGTTCTTGTTCCTTGGTCGCGTCTGTCTGCTGAAGCGAAGTCTTCTTTCTGCCTAAATGATGTGTGCCAGCTGCTTGCAACCACTTTCAACCAGGCACATCAGTGGCGTCGAATAAGACATGCTTCCGCGAATCAGTCGGATGCTCAACCCGGAGAGTCAGCTGTGGCTCCTTTTTTCGTGAATTCATCTCGTAAGCGCAAGAAAGGGTCAGAGGGCGGCTTGCCCGGAATGTGCGCTTGGAGCACTCGACATGGCGACAAACCCGAGAAATCTTGGGAGACAGTCGCGGGACAGGAGCAGTCTTCGCGTTTTGCGTGACTGCTCCTGGGCGTTCTGGTTTTCGAAGACGGCACGAAATCGCACCGCCACCACATGTGCGGCTGGCTGTCTCAGCTCCTCGCTCGAACTGCTGCCAAGATTTCTTGACATTCCTTGCGAATCCTTCCAGTCTCGTGCAGAAGGCAGACCTGATGCGTGGTTGCCGTTTCGACATCCTACATGCACTGAGAAGAGCCGTGCTCAAATTGAAGCAAGGCACGATGTCGAGGGATTTAGCGTTCCCTCGAACCTTCGGAATGCCTTCGCAAAACTCCTGCGAGACTACGACGAAAACGCATAGCGGGCAATTGCATAGGCTGGATGCAAGCAGCGACTTGAAAACATGGACTGAGAAGTCTGTGACAGCCCCGGCCCGGCTCAGCGACAGGAAGAAGAGAGCGATATGTTATTTGTCTTTGAGCTCCGTCCTGGACTGAGAGATGCCCATCTCCATCATCCAGGAGCTGGAAGAGCATACGGGCATCATGAACGTCAATTTCAAGGGTGCTCAGATAGTGTACGATCTCCTCAGCCCACAAGCTTGGAAATGTAACACTCGTGTACAGTTGCAAAACGTCCGAATTTGCGTCAAAACAAAGCGGATGCGGTCCGGTCTCGGGGTGCTTCACCAGCCGCTCCCATTCAGCAAGCGACAGTGATTTGTCTTGATCAAGATCCGCATCTTCAAAGAGGTGGGTCAACTTGGCCTCGCCCAAGGCCAGATGACAGGACAGGCAGCACGCAATCCATTGTAAAAGAAAACTTGACAGCTTGGAAGCACAAGTCACGCATTGGATCCCTTCTAGTGGCCTGCAGCTCCGCAGAATGTTGTAGACGCTCCAGGACAGCCGCGCCAGCATCGTTGGAGAGAGCGTGCAGAGTAGAACGAACAAACAACCTCGACCAAAAAAATTAAGCAATATGCTCTGACTGATGCTCCTAGAGCTGCAATGCGTTTGCAATGCTGCACCACATGTGAGACCAATGCTTGCTGATGACATGTCCGTGTGGGTCATGATGATCAAGAGGAAAAGGAGGAGGAGGAGGAGGACGAGGACGATGACCATGATGACGATTATGAGGATGACGACGACGACAACCATGGTGATGGTGATAATGATGATGGTTGGTGTGGCGCTGGATGGTGCTGATGACGATGATGGTCATGACGGAGAGACTGCGCAAGGTTGCATAGGCTGAAGCTGCTTCATGCCGAGAAGCGCTGTGATAAGCCGCAGCGCCGCAAACACAACGACCACAACATAAAGTAGGCAAGGTATGGCAAAGTACACGCTCACGTCGTCCACAAGAGGTCGAATTAGTGCTGGCCATCCACCCGAGAATGTAATCTCGAAAAATGTGTACATGGCACGAGTGAAGCTGCCGTATGTTTTCAACAGCATCTCTCGAACATCTCTGCTTTGTGTTGAATCCACAATAAAGCCAAGACAGGCCTCGCATAAAATCAATGATGCAATCATCATGCATACCAAAAGCATCATCATCGACCAAAACAGAGCCGACAGGCTCGCGCGAAAGACGTCCACCATACCTCGGCTCAGTTCGACAGAAGTCACCCTGCCCCCAGCTCATGTTCCGAATTCTGAACGCTGCCCATGACCTCTGAGCTATGGCAGCTGTGTCTGTCTTGCTCTCGATTTGGGTGATGTTGCAAGCCCATTGATCACACCCGCTTTGACCGACCCACATCCAAAACCCGAATAAACTGGCCCGTTCCCGTGCAAAGATTGCAGGTCAACCCGCATGTTTTGCGGGTTGTTTTGCAGTCATGACCGTCTCGCGGTGCTGCACAATGAGCTGAGCTCAGCTTTTGAGCAGGAGCGATGCTCACCGGTGATGAAGATGCAGGCAGAAAAGATACATGTCATCCTCTTCAATGCAGGATGATTTTCAATTTCAGCAACTTGCAGCTTTCTTCAAAAAGACCTATGGCAAACAAGCCTGTCAGACCCTCGCTTGGCGGCAAAGACATCAAGATTTAAGGAAGGCTTTCGGCCCAATGCTCCGCAAGAATCTCCCTCTGGATTGCAGGAGAGCACGGCGATAAGCCTTCAGGTTTTTTGATGTTGACGTGCTTTCATGTGGTCGGGGTCCATTCATCATGGCGCGATACGTGGCGCTCGGAAGCCACCTAGCCTGCCAGAATTCTGGGCAGAAGCCTGAGATACGTTGAGATATGTTCAGAGCGCCGTACAAGTGCAGAAAATGCGCTATTCAGCAACTGTCAGCAACCAGCCACACCATCCAGAAATCACAGCAAGCCTGCACCCAGATTCCGAAATAAGAATGCATAACAGATGCTCCAAAGTGCGTCACAGACTCCATGCACACATTTGGGTATTTTCGAAAGCATGACAACAAGGATCTGCTAAGATTGTGTAAGCTAAGCTGGCTAAGCTTGTCAAATGTGCTCGGATGCGACGGGCGTGGTTGGCGAATATAACTTTGGCAGGGAGGTGCTTGCCATGTGATGTGAGGAGCACGTCAACATGGTGAAGAAAGAACCCAAGCTACAGTGGCCGGGACATCTGTCAATGTGCATGGGCAAAATTTGCATACAGGCGTTGTCAGGGGCTGTCTTTGCAAATCCCTGGTCATTCCATCTGCATAACATGTGCAAGGAAGCCAAGTTGTGTGCAGGTGGTCGATGCAGTCTATCCCCCTTTGGTTCTTGCCAAGATGTGCCGAGAGGCTTCTCAGCTGACTGAACAAATGCATGACCTTGAATCATACATGACGTGCTCATCAACCTGCCCGTCATGACACAGCTAGACTCAAGTTCTTCAATCGCGCCTTCCAATGAGACACAGCTCAGCACTCTCTCTTCCACATTACATCATTACACCTTGCAGTTCCATCTCAGCCCCCCTCAAGATCACGGGCCTAATAAATAGGGCTGCTTCTACTGAATGACACCTTGTTTCTTCCTTCTGGAAGTAAAGTACAGGCGCCAGACACTCCTATGCCGTTGCCGGGGTATTATGCTGTTGTCTGACCTGTGTCAGTCTCCAGCTTTTGGAATACCTGGAATGATTCCAGGATGCGATTTGTACGTGCAGCCAAGAGACCCGGACCAAGCGCATCGTTTTTACCTCTCTGCATGACCAAGAACTTCCGGTTTCAGCTTGGGGAGGCGGACAAGGACTGTGACTGTGCTAAGCCTCCAACAACTTTTGTGACTCTCAGGAGCCGGACAAGTTGTGTGCTTGCGTAATTTTCTCCTCGCATGCAACTCTTAGATCGCAGAACGTAGAAGCACATCAAGCGACTCTGAAACTCGTGACACGAACGCGTTCGCACTATTTAGCTTTGACAATCTATCAAGTTGCCGTATTCGTTCTAGGGCCAGGTTCCATGACTCTAAGATGTCGGGCAGCGTCGAGGTCCTCGGAAGCCTGCTAGCAGTACTGCGTCCACCACACCAAAGCCGACCAACATAATGTCCTCGGCAACGCCAGGCTGAGCGAGGCAGATGCCAGTCATTACTCATAGCCGTGGCCGAGCAGCAAAGAAGTTTCCTTAGTCTGGGCAGCTGGCACTAATCGGCTAATCGACCAGTAAAGGTGCAGCTTCGGGGCCCCACATGTAGCCCTCTTCTTCCGTGTAGTACCATCGCTTTCGCAGGACCCCGATTCTGATCGCCATCTCGCAAAGATAGAAGAAAAGGAAACAGAACTCAGCGATTTCGAACGCCTGGGTGCCACGTCTGATTGCGAAGGTGGGTGCGCTCTCAACGAGTCACGGAAACAGTGAATGATGAAACACAGCCGGATGTCGTCGGCGTAAACCAAGATCTTGCAACATGCTCTGACTCTGCTTGACAGAGCTTTCGACTTTTTCGACTGCCAAGGGGCATCAGATTCGTTTTGACTGATCATGAAGGAACCCGAGGCAGCCTCCACAGCCAGTGCCCCACTGGCAATCGACCCCTTGAGCTGCTGTTCCACGATGAGCACCTCAAGTACCGGATCGCTTCTGCAAGCCGCACGAGATCACAGGGTTCTGTCTTGCTCTCCTGTTTGGCTCTGTCTCGAAGGACCGCGGCCCTCCCTTTTTTCCAAGGCACGGCAGCATTGATCAAGATGACAAAACCAGCCAGAAGATCCTCGGATGTCGAATCAACCCGGAACACTAGTGACTCCCAAGACCTCAAGGCACATTCCTGGACTGGCAGCCACTGGCGCCTTCCCGACGCACTACACGATTCTACGGATTCTACGGCTTCGGTAAATCATGCAGTTCCTTTTTCAGGAGCCCATGGCTTGGGGTGTCTGGGACTGAGAGCAGCTCCAGGGGACCCTCCTCAACGAAGCTGTGCAGTTTCTCCATCCTCGTCAGCTGCTTGAGGATCCTCGTCTTGTGAACACGAGCCTCAGCCACTGCTGAAAGCTTGATCTAGCACATACATCGTGTGATGCGCACATCTCCGCCCGCACCACTCACTTTGGGTGTTGCATGTGGCCTGCCTGAATTCGCGAAGCGATCCGTGACTTGGGCAATGACGCCTTCCAGCATGTCGGTTTTATGCACATAGTGCAAAGGATGCTCAGCTCACAGCAGCTTTGGCGTAAAGGCTTTGCCACCCTAACCAGAGAATCCTACCTCCGCCTAGCTCTAAGCTCTAAACCTCCGGAATTCGCAAGCGAGCACTTCCTAATGCTAGGCCCCTAGGCTCCCAAAGTCCCTACTAGATCGTCTTCGACTTGGCACGAAAGCCTGTGGGTTGGCCATTCTCGAAGTTTCTGGCCGGGTGAGTAGGGGGGAGGGGGGCGGGCACTTGGCCTGTCACTGCAGCGTCCGGATGCTGAAACTGACATCTGACGCTTGTCTGACAGTTTTCAGTGATTGCTGCATGGACAAGAAGCTCCGAAATCTACCCGTGGCTACGTGCAGCTAGGCACAGTACTACACTGCAGGAACGAGTTGGCCGGAACTAGTTTGATTGCATGTACATTTGGGCCGATAGATGGTTCACTGCACTGTCCGTGATAACCTGCACACCCTACAGGGGAGCTTGCGCGCGGATTGGCAAGAGCTGGCAAGTGCCCTTTCAACCGAAACAACTTCTTCCAAGCATTGCATCCATGCTTTCAGGACGCCTCTTCATGGGCAGTCGCAAGAGCCGGCTCACGCACTTGAAGCTCGATCGATGCACCCTGGACTTGGATCAAGTCCTGTAGGGGCATTTCTTAAAGCAGAGGGAATCTGGATGAATTTAGGAAGCGGGCCAAGCCGGCCTGCTTCCGAGTTCCTACGCCCGCATACTGTTCGATAGAATTCGACGTCTAAGTGGAATATTCGAAGCCGGTCTCCGTCCTGCAGTCGATCGAGCTCTTCCAAGCTGACTTGCGCAGCAGCTGCCTCTGCTAAAGGATCCTTCGCCTTGCAGCAGCGCCAGAAAAAAAGACATTGACATGAACACGACATCTGATGACTGCTTGGACGCCTCGGCCCTGGGAGTGATCGATATCTCGCCCGGTGCTCCTGTGAAACTTTAAAGCGAGCGACTGCCGGACATCCTACAGAACTGCTGTGCGCCGTCCTTTCGCGCCGTGATGAAATCCATCGCCGTCACCAGGCTCGTCTGGCCATGCTACAGGGGAAACAGAAACCGACAAACAATCACAGGCTTGATTTTATGGGTGTTTAGGCTAGGCTTCAGGAGTCCATATGCGCCCCGCAACACTTCATGGCAAATGACCCCGTGATGCATTCGAGCAAATCGAGATGGCACCCACCGTTGATATCCTGTAGCCCCTCCGTCTGACTATTCTGACTCCCTCTAACGGAAGTAGTAACGTCCAACAAGAATAAAGACAGCTCCGTGCAGCGCTGGACTGGAGAACACGCGACACGTTGGCGCGTACGCCGATGTGCTGCGCCCGTGTGCGCTCTGGACATATCCTTTTGACTCGACAGACACACGGCATTCAACAACAGCGTGCTCGGGCACCAGCACGCCACCAGCCACGCAAGGCGTCCAGGGCAGCCTGTTCGCAAGCGATGAGCCCCGTGTGGATGAAAATATTGCGACAGCTGAATCGCCACTCGGATCAGCAAGTAAGTGTCAGCCAGCCATCAAGTCCCGGAGGCCTGTTGCTTTTGCAATGTCCGCATCACCAGCGCATGGTGTTCACGAATCATCTCCTTGAGGGCGTCAGAGCTGAGATCCTGCGCTTGGAATCCCGCTGAACAGCTAAAACAAAGGCGGACTTCAGAGTCTCAGATACTTTCAGCACGTGGGCATACGTGGGCAGAGTTCGGCTGCCTCGCAAGTCTCATCCTGCTCCCCAGGTGGTCGACATTGAAGGCACGACATGGGAGACAAGCTATCAGTGCTATCAGTGCCATGTTTGGGGTTCTGAACTTTGCAGTACGTCCACCATCCAGTTAACTCGCGATCGGCTTGGTAAGCTGCCACATCAGCTGGGCGGGGCACAAGGTTGCAGAAGCCACTAATTGAACAGGCTGCCTCAGTGCTGCTCCCTCTGCCTCCTACTCAAAAGTTTCCTGCCAACCTCAATGAAAGCATTTTGCACATCGCCGCAAGGGGCTGCGCAGCCTGTAGCGGAAGCTGTGCCTTTGGCAAGCTTCGCCCTCCAGTGTACAGGCCACCGTACGCGGATTGCCTGGCATACCTAGCTTGCATCTGATGCACTTTGATGAGTGGACAAGGCCTGAGGATTCTGCGATAAATTCCGAATTTCAAAGCGGCCCTTTCGCCACTGCTGGAATCCATGCACGAGTCGATCGATGCAAACGTTAGCGCCTTGAAGCTGTGATGAGACGCTTGGTCTCTTGACTGCAGCCCGCATCGATCCTCTGATCCTTTGTGGATAGCATGTACGTGTCCTGCAGATCGTTCCAAACAGGTGCCTCTCAAAAGTTGTGATTCCAGTGTCGATTTTCAGGCGATTGAAGGCCAAGACGACATGCTGGTGCTCGAGAGCTGCTACAGACTCAGCCGAGTTCCAGTTCCACCTGGGGCAGTGAGCCGGCGAGCAGAGTGCTACGAACAAGAGACCTTGCGAAGCTTAAAAGTCAGCTTCCAGAGAGCGCCATGGCCCATAACTGCACTGTCATAACAAATCGCCTGAGCCAGGGCCGCAGTCGTCGCAACCTGACTCGATCCGGCCCAAAGGCGTCTCGCGGGTCATCTCCATGTCAAAAGGACCTCTGAAGCACAGGTGGGTCCAAGATATCTACGCCAACAAGCTCTCCGCGACCACGGTCGACTCGATGACTCGACGGCCAAGAATCAGACTGACATCGCTTTCGACCTCGGTATCCGCGCAGCTCGCACCTTGCACTCGGTGCCGGAACATGCCAGAACGTGGTCAGATACGAGGGCAATTTGCAGTACATACGACCAGCAACACAAGCAACCTCGCAGACAAGCGCTTGAACTTGAGGAAACCTGCCTCGCCTTCTTGTTCCTTTGCTGGTGGAGCAGTTGGAGCAATGGCCACGAAGTTCTGGGTACCTCAACCAGCGCTACTCCCCATGGCAAAGCCTCAATGATCTTCAGTCAGGTTCAGCAGTTCAAGCTGAATGGACTTCATTTACTGTCCAGGACGTGTTGAGTAGATAACCAGACACTCAAAGCAAACGAAAAGGGATCCAACAACATCATTTCTCAACAAAAACTGGGTAACGGAACCAGCACCGGAGGTCGGCAATGGTCGCCATGATGATTGCGATGATGATGCCAATGAGAGCGGCTGCTGATCAGGAGGAGGAGGAGGAGGAAGAGGAAGAGGAGAACCGGATCATGATGTTGAGGATGAAGATGAGGATGAAGGCAGTTATGAGGATGAGGATGATGCTACTGCTGGTGCTGGTGATGGTGGTGATGAGGGTGAGGATGATGGTGGTGATGATCAAGGTGATCATGACGACGATGACAATGACGATGACGACTGGGACAACGATGACGCTGCCGCTGCTGCTGCTGCTGCTGCTGCTGCTGCTGGTGCTGCTGCTGCTGCTGCTGCTGCTGCTGCTGTTGCAGGTGGCAGCGGCGGTGGCGGTGGCGGCGATGACGATGACCATGGCGATTATGATGATGATGATGATGATGATAAAGACGATGACGATGACGACGCTGATGATGGTGATGGTGATGGTAATGGTGATGATGACGATGATGATGGTGATGATGGTGATGACGACGATGACTTTGGCGATGACGGTGACGGTGAGTGGTGGTGATGGTGATGATGACGATGATGGCGACGATGCGGATGAGGGAGGGTTGGGGAGTGCCAAATCGGGAAATTAGGGAGGGGGGGGGCCCAAAGAGCGACCTTGCGTGGCGGATCGCGCTTCGATCTGCTGGCAGGAGGCCGTTCTCCAAGTGTTGAGGGCTCTTGTTCCAGGTCCGGCCCCCCGCCAGGCCTGGCTCAACTTTCTTCCGACTCCAGCGCGACATTCGAGCGAAAGACTTCGCACCTCAGCCGAAGCGCTGAGGCATCTGGTCATGCACGGGCATGTTGACGACGATGTTATTGGCCCATGGCTCTGTGTCCAAGAGCCAGGATGCCATGACAACATGCGCTTTCAACATGCAATAGCTACTGGCCAACAGTGGTAGTGGTCAACTGCATCCGACCTTTACAAGACATGGGAACATCTTGGGAGCCTTGCAAGCTTGACGGCAAAACTGCCTAACTGTTCGCGGACAACTGCGGCTTGAGGACTTACCCGGCGCGTGAAGTCAAAGTCGGGATCGTCATCACGAAGAACCTGACAATATCCCATACTATCTCACGCCATGTTACTGTTGGAACTCTGCACCAGTGCGGCCTCCTTGGCCAAGAGCGTGATGCAGCGGGAGATGTGTGTCACATCATACACAGCCAGCTCTTTGACCTTAAACAGTCCCGAGCTCAGCGTTTCTGCTCAGCTTCGTAACGTCAAGGCTTTAGAAAGCAGTCGCTTCAGGCCCAGGTTTGCCGAGCGGCTCGAGTCTCGATGACATCAGCATCTGCCTGGCACGGGCTGCCCGCGGTCCGAGTCCGGCCACTAGGACAGGATCCAAAGTCTAAGTCTACACCCTGCTCTCCCATGCAAACCTCGGACAACTCCATGCTCAGACCTCGACAAAACAAGTCTTTGTAGCGTTTAAGCTCGCGTGCTGTGAGCTTTGCATTCTGCCCAAGGCGGAGACTCCGCAAGGCTGAACTCACCTGGGTCTGGGTCTTCCACTTTGCAGACCACGGCGGCTGCAAGCCAGCTGCAGCCGGGTCACGCGTTCGGCCTTGGGAATCGGGCCGAGGGTGACGATCATCAGCTCCTCCTCGCTTGTGCCGCGGGCCACGCGAGCGGTGTGCTTTGGCATGCTTTGGCTTCGCACTTCGCGCCTGAAAGCCAACAGCCCGGAGCAGCAAGGAGAAGCCTCGGAGCACTCCGAGTCGCACTCCGAGACCGCGGCGAGTCGCCATGGCTCAGGGCCCGGGCCGATGGAGCCCAGCGCCAGCAGCACGGAACCAAAGAGCAGCACGAGGACCACAAGAGTGAAGGTGTTACGGAATCCAAGCATGTCATCTGAAGGGATGCAACAGATTGACTGCATGACGTGATCAAATCATTAACATTATATTAACATTCCACCTGCTACAACTTGCGGTGGTGGTACTGACATGTACATCGCGGAGTATATAATGTGCCTGTGAGATCTGGGAGGCACATTGCCGCAGAGACAACAAGAAGGATGACACAGGCGGAAATCCAACCTGGGTATCTTGATCAGTTCATGATGCAACAGAATACATCAGAATGTCCTTTCAAAGTGTCCAGCCACTTGTGGCGGGGAGCAGTCCAAGGCGTTGATCAAAGGCGGCTTCCACGGCCAAACCAGGGCTTGCACAGCCATGAAGAACACCAGGATCACGGACATTGACACGATCCTCGGTTAATGCCATCGAGAATGAAACCAAGCCGAGCAGCCCTGCACAAATTGGGCCAGGCAACTGAATGGGAGGGTAGTCCGTAGCAAGGACCACGGGCAGATTCAGCAAGGAGCCACGGACAAGCAGCGGCACCCCATACCACCAGCCATCCAAGCGGAACCGCGCAAGCAAAAACCGAAACGAGCTGACCTCGGCTGGGGCCACGTCTGTTCAGGGCCCCAGTTCTTCGTCATCTTTACGTCTGCTGAGGGACTCGGTGGGAGAGGCCTTGGGAGCTCCAAAGCGGCACCTCTGCGGGCGCATCTTGAAATCTCCTTATCATCTCGGCTCGAAAAGTCCAGGCCTGGCAGGCTGCCCACACGCAGAGGCAGAGAAAGCCCAGAACACCAAAAGCCAGCAATGTCACACCTCCAGCCTTGGCTTCAGCATACGGCCCATCAGCCACTCTACTTAGAACAACCATCGCAAGTGCAGCTCTCAATCGCGACCAGCAGCAAGCATCACGGAGTGTTCTTCTGTCCCACAGAACCTTTGACACCAAGGGCGAACTGGAGGGCGACGCAATCCTGGCTTGGCGCCTGAGTCAATGGGTTAAGCCGAGACGCACTTCCGGAAACTTCAGCAAGCTGTGAAGGCCGTTTGGATGACCTCAGAACAAGTGCTGGAGGGCTGCGGAGATTCCAATCTCCGATCGCTTGTCGGCCGCACTTGCCCATCAGTGATATTTAGAATGCCCTTCCCTTGCCCAGCCGCTCCATTCAACAGGCAACTGAGGCCCTCTCTGTAGCATGTCATCGGCACCATTGCGGTCACACTCATGGTGGTGTAACCTTACAGCTTAGATCCACCGCCCTACGGCCCTACGGAAGCCTGCCAAACACTGAGGTTTGAAGCCCAGCCGCCCATTTGCAAGAACTGCCCAATGAGATTGAAAGTCTTGGAGGTCGCCCAGCGCCACTTTTTGGGCAGCAGCTTTGAAACTGCGAGACCTCTGCACAGCTAATCACGCGAGGAGCGATTGCAGCCGTTTTGGAGGCTGAGAGCTGCGCAAAACAGGATGCCCACTATAACCGCAGGGAAAAGCATCACTGTGGACAGGTACCGCCGAACAGCATCGCTGCTGGCCACGCACGGGTAGCCTCATGGCAGCAGACGCACAAACCGCTCTGCATGTTCTGTAAACCCAGTGCACACACGAAGATGAGGCTGGCACCCAGAGTTTCTATGTCCAAAATGAAGACTTGCATTGCCTGAAAGATGTCCTGAGCAAGTTCGACCAGTCGGAACTGGCCCTGCCAATACTCTGGCGGCTGGTGCATGCTGGATGCCGGCAAAGGGTCCTGTACTTCGAGCGGGAAGTCCACAGTCATGCTGCCGATGACACCTCCGCTCTCATCGCAACTGATGCAATAGCTTACCTACACCTACAATGCTTTTTACACTGCTCACTCTTGTGACGCTCGTCAACAACTGGCTCGCAAATGGAGCGTCCACAGGCCACACACACACGCACACACACACACACACACTCGAACTCCAGGCAAACCCTGGTGTGAGTTCTCACGAGTGATATCAACTCCAATCAAAGTCAGAGACTCAGAGGAGGCATCAAAGAATGTAAAATGTTGTGGGAGGTCTTCAACAGGCTCGAGTTCCCTT